CGTTTGGCACTTCTATCACATAGATGCTGACTCCCTCACCTCAGCCTCGTGAGCAACCCCTGCCCCATCTCATTGCCATGACTTCCAGGTCTTTACATTGCCTTCTCCTGGAAGTGTCTGCCTGTCATGTCAGTGACAGAGAGGAGAGACCTGGCTTATGTCCAGAAACCTCTGAGGACGGGCTCTGCTCCCGGGCCATCTTCTGCCTCTGCTTCCCAGTGGCGGTGGTTGGACTTTTGTGCATCGCTGCTGAACTGGGCTTGGGTAAGAGCGGAGGGGATTCTAAGCCTCCGTTGTCCCTGGGGTTCTCCAGACAGAGTACGCTCGCTATGAGAACGGCCACTATCTGTACCGCATCCACCGGTCCCCGCTCTGTGAGTACATGATCAACTTCATCCACAAGCTGAAGCACTTACCCGAGAAGTACATGATGAACAGTGTGCTGGAGAACTTCACCATCCTGCAGGTATGCCTGGGGCAGGTGCTCGGGGTGTAGTGCATCGGTGGGCGGCACCAGTGGCTTCTCCACCAGTGGCTTCTCTGCCCAGGGCTTTGACCCTCGCCTTTGTCTCACCTACAGGTGGTCACCAATCGCGACACACAGGAGACCTTGCTGTGTATTGCGTATGTCTTCGAAGTGTCAGCCAGCGAACACGGGGCTCAGCACCACATCTACCGGCTGGTGAAAGAATGACACAGACTTGCAAGAATGATGGTGGGGGGACAAATCCAGGAAACGGGGACCTGGGAGGGAACCTTCAGGGATAGTCCCCGGAAGTGCCAAGAGAGCTGAGCGGAGGAACCAACTGCCTGATCTTGCAGTGCCCAACCCCCAATAAACCCAAGGTGTCAAGTGTTTTCAGGGGAGCTGGTCTGACTGTGTGAGCCCAGAAGGGCAAGGGAGAAGGGGGCACCAGGAGGCAAGCTGGAAGCAAGCCCAGAAAGGCCCAATGGTCCAGGAGCCAGAACCCCAGTGGACTCAGCCAGACACCAGAGCTCAAGACCCGGTGGCCCCTCCTCAGCGGCTGGACCCCTACACTCTGCTGCTGGCCACACTGTGGCCTAAGGACAGATGGCATGTGGCTCACACACCCAGAATGCAATGCATGACCACGTGTACTGTCAGCCTTGCCATGGCTGCCCGAGGATAGCTATAGCAGAAGGCCCCACCCCCGCTAACGGCTGGGTGAGATTGGGTAAGATTTACTCAGGTGGCCCTGCAGAGGCCTTGCAGGGGTCAATAGCTCCAGGCCTAGGCAAGGCTTGGAGGTAGGGAGTCCCGCTTCAGGGCCAGCGTTTCCAGCTGCTTGTTCCTGTCAGGCTCCTCAGCTTCTCTCTTAGTCCCTTTTCCTCTCAGCGCTGGTGAGGAGGGGCTGCTGCGTCGGGGATCTGAGTTTTAGGAAAGCTAGGGCTACAAAAAGAAACCCCGTCTCCAAAACAAAATGAAGAAAAGAAAAAGAAAGAAAAACAAACCAAAAAGCAACAAAACAAAAAAAGTAACGGCACAATGCCTGTTAAATGATCTAACTCTCTGCCCAGCCCCTTGCTTCCCTCCCTCTGGAGAGCCTGGATCTGGCTCTCTGCTGCCCTCTCCTGGCTTTCTGGTGTCCGCTTCCCTAGTTGGAGCCAGTTTCTAGTAACCCGGAGCCTCAGGAAGAAAGATCCAATCTGGGCGAGTTTGTGTGTGCCCAGAACTCAGGGATGTATCTGTGGGGATGCAAAAATGGGCAGGGCAGCATTGGGGGGATGCTACAGGGGTGAGGAGCAAGGGAGCTGGAATCAGTCTAGCCTGACTTTGATGTGCAACCTGTGGTGTGTCAATGTCATGGTGCCTCAGTTTCCCCATCTGTAAAATGGGTATAACATTCACCTACCTCGTGTATGAACAGTGCCTCATGTAGTGCTGAGCACATCCACGTATGCAATAAATAGACATTGGTACTAACCATGGGAGCTGCAGCTCCTGCTGAGGAGCCGGATGGGGGAGCTGTGCACTGGAGTGGGGAGGGATCCAGAGGTCTCAGGGAAGAGGTAGCCTTTGAGGGAACAAATTCTGATATTTATTGATGTTATTTCTGTTTAATTTTGGTGCCGGGGCAGAAGACCTCAGGGCTTAGCATGGGCGGAGTGACTGTGCCAGAAATATACAAATTAAGCATATGGGAGGAGTCTGGCTGCATTTCAGATAAGGAAGACAGACAAGCCACCCAGTCTTTCTGTGGCCCCCAAATTCCTTCTCCTTAACCCAAAGAAGTTTAACTCATACCTCTCCACCATGCTAGGATGGTAGCCCTACTGCACTGTGTAGAGGTCCTGCTGTCAGAGGGGGCAAGGGTCCTGGAAAGACTACTGCATCCCTGGACCTGTGATGAGGACTCACCCCTCACATGCAGGCCTGTGTTTGTACAACCCTCCCCCCATCTTACCTCCACCCCCACCCCCGTGTATGCTGCCTGGCCACGCCGCAGCATTCTTGAAAAGTCCCAGGCTCAGACATTTCAGACTTCTTTGTGGACAGTGTCTTAGGTCATGAAGGACACACAATCTTTTTCTCTGGGAAGCAGTCAGTCCAGATGTTGGATCCCAGTGTGGATCATGAGTTTTTCCTGTGTGAACTGACCTTAGTGGCCTAACGGAGAGTCACCGTAGAAGACGGTAGTCTCAGTTGCCTCTCACTTGAGCCGGCATGGCGTTTGACTAGGGCACCCTCACCCCCATAGCACCAGTCTCGCTGATGGTTCTGTGCTGGTGCCATTGTTTATTTATTTAGATGAGCTCACCCTCTCTGGTCTGGGCTACTACCTCCAGTGATCCTCCTGCCTCAGCTTCCTGAGGAGCTGGGACTATGGGTGCTCACCACTGTGCCCTGAAGTCCTATTTTAAGGATTAAGAAAGTGAGACCCTGAGAGCTTAAGGAAGTTGCTTGGGTTGTTGGTGTGTTTTCCGTTTGCTTTGTGAGTAGCTGTTTAATTTCTGAGATGTGGCAGGCTCTGGGAATGTGTCCATGAGCAAAACAGCCAGGGTGACTCTGAGCTGACTGTGGACTAAGGAAGGGGTGATGGGACACAAGTCAAAGAGACTTGTAGGCAGTGGGAAATGCTGGGGGGTGGGGGCACCAAGGTGAGCTTCATAGGGGAGGCTGCCAAGGCCCAGAATCTACATTGACTCTTGAACCACAGTGGATCTGAAGGAACATTCCAAGGGAGAATAGAGAGTCTTGGAGACAGGGAGGGGATGGGTGTGCCCCAGGGGTACGCTGAGTAACAGAACTTGGGCATACCCTGTCCAGCACGCCAGGTAGATGCCAGGCAGGTGGTGTCTCTTGTGTCGCCCGCACTCCGTGTGTGGATGTGCACTCTGGAATTCTCACTGGGTGGGAGCAAGGCCTGGAGGTGTCAAGCAAGGGAGTGCATTCCTTTGATACTATTTTTAGAGAACAGCTCTAGAGTCTGCTACAAAGGAGCAGGTGTGATTGTTGCTCTTGAACCCACCCAGCATGCTTCCCTGGGCATTTGGGGGTGTTCCCACCCAGCATGCTTCCCTGGGCATTTGGGGGTGTTCCCACCCAGCATGCTTCCCTGGGCATTTGGGGGTGATCTCATCCAGCAATGCTTCCCTGGGCATTTGGGGGTGATCTCATCCAGCAATGCTTCCCTGGGCATTTGGGGGTGATCCTATCCAGCAATGCTTCCCTGGGCATTTGGGGCTGGAAACTATTAGTTTTCTAGGTCTGTTCCATTTGGCAGCCATGTGAGAGAAAAGGGAGGGTAGACCAGAGAGGGTCACCTGTGTCACCAGGCCTGTGAGATGAGGAAGGGTCTCCGAGTTCTGGGACTTGAGCGCCAACTACCCCAGGAGTGAAAACCCTCCTGGCCTTACCTAGTTAGCAGGAAATGTCAGAAATGGCGGTAGGGTCAGGTGAAAGGTTTTCTGCTTCACAGGGTCTGACACTCGCAGCAGATTGTAGCAACCAAGTGTCAGAGAGTGAAAGGAATGTGTCCTGACCAGAAAAGCAAACACAAGCGCAAAGACAGAACAAACCCCCTCAAAACTAAAACAGAACAAAAACACCCCCCTCCACACACACACACACATACAAGGTGCCCCAGACCCACAGGTGAAGGGGCCGAGGTCTGGTCTTATATCCCTGGTTTGTGGGCACCCATTCTTTCCCAGGCTGGGGTTTGAGTGCAGGAGGGCTGAGGGTAGGCTGTGACACGAGAGAGCTTTCTGAGACCTCGCCACCCAGGCACAGAAGCGAGACAACAGAACAGTCTGCTCCCCTCAGGGGTTCCACCCAGTGGCTACCTGGGTGTGGCCCCTGCTGAAAACCTCTTTTCTTTCTTAGAGCTACGGTAGTAGGGGGCAGTGGCATCCTGGATAATTTAGAGGTTAGAAAGAAGATTGCCTTTTCCTTCAAGAGTTGACTCTTTATAGGATGTAGCTAACTAATAAGCTCAGCCAGGTGGCCAAGTGCACACCTTTGCTCCCCGCCCCAACACACACTCAGGAGGAGACTGAGGCCAGCAGGAAATGCACGGTGGAACCCGATCTCTGCAATAAAAGTCCTTTGAGAAGTGTCTGGAACTTGGCTTTTGTATATTTATCCACGGGTAAGAAAGGACAGATGGGCACGGGCCTTCCTAGCGAGCCAGAGCCCAGGCGGTGGAAATGTTGGTTTTTTTTACACTCACAGATGTCTGATATTCGACTGTAAGGCTTTTGTATTTTTTTCTATGTAAACCCCCTTCATCTCTTCAAATCTTCAGTAAAGTCTGCTACAAACCCAGAGGTCTGCGTGCTCATCATTTCTCTGTCCAGGACCGTGCCTGGTCATAAAGATGCACACTAGCGGTGCGCATTGGGACTGGCCCGTGCTGAGCCAAACCATAGCAGCAGGACCTGAACTCAGAGCTGAAGAGTTCAGATGCTCTTGAATAGGGCATGGTAAGAGGCTGTCCACGGTTCCACAACACTCCCAAGAACTGAATTCTCATCAGCCACTGTTCTGTGCTAAACTGAACTAGTTTGGGGTTCAGAGAGGGCTGATGCAGAAACCCCACCTGTACCTGCTGGACCCTTTGCTTCCCTGAGCAGGGAGGTAGGAGGCCTTGCCTGGATGGCAGGACCTACCTTTCAGTGGGTACCGTCCTCCCTGGACCAGACTCAGGAAGGACACCCAGATTCTTACTGGAGTTGGGAGCCGGGTCATTACTGAGAGGTGAGTTGGGCCTGAGAAGCGAAGCTGTGGCAGCCCTGTGCTGAGACATGGTGTGTTTACAGACAGAGTGATGTCACAGTGCGATCGGTAATGAAAAGTCCCCAGGCTATCTTACAAAAGATACAGCTTTAATAAAACAGAAGGAAAAACTTACACAGAATCCCACCTGTCTGGAATGCTGGATCCAGGCCAAGTCGAGAGGGGAGGGGAGCTTTCACCCGCCAGGTTTATAGATAAACTTTTGCCTTAGGGCAACACACCCCACAAAGAGGATGTGATTGGCTAAACTCCCCTATCAAGAGAGGAGGAGGAGCAGGAGTGTGATTTGCTCTCAGTAGTAAGGGAAAGGTTTGGGGGCCAGGGGAGGCCAGCTGCTGCTCATAGGGAGATGAGGGTGGAGAAGTGACCACTTCTGACAGTCCCCTGCCTCCTTTTCAAATGACAGGACTAGACCCCTCTGTTTTTATCTAATGTGGTCATTCTTGGTAAAACCGTATTTCCTAGTTTCCATTGCAATCTGAGGTGTTAACCGACTAAGCGGGGGCAGTGGAGGAAAGTAGAAATAAACTTTCCAGGAATGACCTAAAAGGGAGAGAGCATGCACTTTGTTCTGAGGAGTTGTCGGGAATGTGCTGTAATGTAGCACAATTAATGAAAACCCAGAGACAGAAATGAGGGTTCAACCTGAAGGTCAAAAAAGCAAAAAACAGTCAGCCACTGGCTCACCTTGACCTCAGTCCGAAATGGTGAGCCTGCCTTCAGGAATCTCATAATGAGACTGTGTGTGAGTTGTCTCCTCCCGTCTTGTATTCCTCTCTGGTGCTGGGATTAAAGGTGTGCACCACTACTAGCCAGCTTCTATGGAAAACTAGTGTGGCTACTGGGATTAAAGGTGTGTATCGCCACTGCCTGGTCTGTAAGGCCGTTCAGTGTAGCTGTTTTACTTTCTGAACTTCAGACACACTTCAGTTACTTAAATACAAATGAAATATTGCTACACTGTAGTGGCCAGGTTTTGTGTAGCTACTGTGGACACTGAGATGACCTTAGACGGTCACAATACAAGCAAGAGCGGAAACACAAGAGTGTTACCTAGCTCTAGTAGGTTTCCCGCGAGGAATGAAGTTTTCTGTTTGCCCCTTTCATTGTGTCTAGTTTTTTTGAATTAGCAGCCAAACTTAATTCTAACACACAACAGTATTCAGTCTGGGAGCAAAGTTGGAGGCCACAGAGTTAAGGCATAAAGATGACGACCATGATGATGATGATGGTGACGATGATGGTGATGATACCTACCTCACCTTCTGAGGCAAAGCCTGCCATCCTTCCTTCCTCAGTCCTCCGAAGGCTTGCTTCACAGGCATGGCATGCACCACCACGCTCAGCTTTCCCCCGCACTTTTCAGTGCACAAAACCCTTCTGATACCTTTTCCTGCTTGATGCCCACAGCTGCACTGTGCTCCTGCAGGCCGTTCTTTTCATGGATGAAGAGGCTTGGGAAATCAGTAACTAACTTCGGCTGGTCTGGTTTGAGTGTGAAATGTTCCCACAGGCCTATGTGTTTGAATACTTGGTCCCCAGTGGGGAGCACTGTTCTGGAAGGTTCCAGAACCTTGCTGGTGCCAGTGCCCTAAAGTCAGCACTTGAGAGTTCCAGGTCAGCACACTTCCCATGCTCTCTGTGTCCTGATCGGCGTGGAGCTGACCAAGCTACACCAGCGGCTCCCCTGCTCCTGGCGTGAGCAGTTCTTGTGACCGCATCTTCCACAACAGAGTGCACCCCCTCAGACCACACCTCGCTTCTTCTCTTTGGTATCTTATCACAGGGACCAGAAAAGTTACACACCTGGCAAGTCCTCTACAGGCCTTTCCACCTCCGCTTGGGCTGGCTGCTCAGCCCAGCTCTCCTGTCTCATGAATGCAGGTGGGCTGATCATGGGTGGTCAGGGCTTGCCTGAAGCTGTCTGGGACAGGGTGGGAAGCCCAGAGAGGATATAGTTTAGAGGTGGGAGCAGTTCAGCAGTATACAACATTTGCCTAGCGTCTGTGGCCCTGGCTTGCATCCAAGGAAACAAAACAAGAAATTAAAGCAAGATGAAGAAAGCAGGTTTTTTTTTCTTCTTGTACAATAATCACCTTGTGGCTAAAGCAAGGGAGTGTGGTTCACAAGAGGCTGTGGAGAGAAAGGAAGCAGATGACCAGCTCCGTGGGAGGGAAATGTGTTTGCCAGTTGGCAGGCTCACAAGCGCATCCTAGACATAACCAGAAGTCATTAGATGCTTAGCCCGAGTCTGGGGAGTGTCTTATGACCCTGCCTTTTTTAGGGATTAGGTTTTTTTCAGTCCTCCCAGACCCAAGGCCAAGGTGGGAATTAAGAATTTGCCACCATATTCTCATTCTGTCTTTTCCCCTCAGTAACATTGTTTTGAGACAGGATCTCACATAGCTCAGGTTGACTCCAAACTCACTATTTAGCTGGTTAACTCTTGACCCTTTCAAAGATGGGGATCATAGATATGCACCACCACCACTGTCCCCAGTGACGCCTTTGCTGACTTCTTTCCCGTTCTTTTCTTGAAATGTAGCCAGCCCCCAGTCCTGACACCAACACTAAGGATTGTGTATGCCAACTCTTAGGGTGTGCACTGACGGAGGCTTAGAGCTGCTCACCCAGGTTCTCACTGCCCTTGCAGCCAGTCATGTGCCTTCCACTCCCATGTACTGTCTTCCCAGGTTCGCTCTGAGAAACAAGGAGCCCTAGGAAATCCCATTCTGTCCAGCCCTCTAAGGCTCTATAACCTTGACTCTCCCACCCCAACCTGTGCTGGAGGGAGGCACATTAAAGCAAGCCTCAGATGCCTGCTCCCAGTTGGCCGGGCCCCTCCCCGCTGTGATCTGCCCACTTGCTCTTTCTCTCCATCTCTCTGGTCTGGGATTCCTGGCTGTGCTCCCTGGCTTTGATATCTGCTGCTGCACTCTCTGGTTTGGCAACTCACCACGTTCCCCTTGTGGTTTTGGGAGCCTCTGGATTTTATTGATCAGCCTGCTGCTGTGTCCCTTTCTCTGGTTTTCTGTACCTACTTGGTCTTTCATGGGGTGCATTCCCTCTGGTTTGGACTCTGCAGAGTCCTATGGCTAAGCCAGGATTGGAAGTGGCCTTGCAGTGGCCTTGCAGTGGCCTGTAGCACCTTAGATCTGCCCTTGGCCCTGGCTGCCCCTTGAGGAAGACACACATGCAAGGTGCATCCCATGGCCCTTTCTGATTGGGCCTAAGTGTCTGACTCACTCCAGCTGCTAAAGATGTGGCTATGCCCCCACCCCCTTTCCCTGCGCAGGCCCAAGACAGTTTCTTTATTAATCAATGGTATTTGCAGCACACAGAGGGGACTCCCACATCACTTCACTCACTAATGGCTGCCATCGCAGCCGTCCCCTAACGAGTTTTATGATCTGTTCCCTGTTAGATGACAGGGGCACACACAAGTCAGCCGAAGAAGTGAGCCAGGAATGACCACAGGCCTAAGCTCTCCTTAGACGAAGGCCCAACTGTTGTACTGTGTGGGCAGTTTTTGGCAAGTGCTGGCTGAGCTGAGAGCGATTCCAGGCCTTCTTACCTGGCAGGAAAGAGCCTGCGTGTACCCAGGCGGCCACTGGTGAAGGACAGTCACTGCTGGGGCTTTTTGGTGAAGGATAGCCACTCCTTGTGGGACTTGTGCCTGCATGACCTGGGACTCCCTGGAACTATAAGGTCTTACTACCCTCCCCTGTTCTTGGAACTTTATACCCATAGATGACTCCTAAGCATGTTCAAGTTTGAGGAGCTACTGGGGTGGACTTTTCACCAAACAAGAAAGCTCCACCCCCAGGTGTAGTGAGTCTGGGTCATTTCTTCTTGTAGATAGAGCAGGGAGATGAGTTGTTGGTTGTTTTTAACTCTTTAGGGGACCTGCCACCCAGCTCCCAAATAAAACATGGAGGCTTATTATTCTTATAAATGTCTTAGTTTGACTTTGGCTTGTTTCTATCCAGCTTTTCTTATCTTTTTGGTTTGGTTGGGTTTTGTTGGGTTTTTTGTTGTTGTTGTTGTTGTTGTTTGTTGTTTGTTTTTTGTTTTTTGAGCAGGCTTTCTCTGTAGCTTTGGTTCCTGTCCTGAAACTAGCTCTTGTAGACCAAGCTGGTCTTGAACTCACAGAGATCCACCTACTTCTGCCTCCCGAGTGCTGGGATTAAAGGTGTGCACCACCACTGCCCGGACAGTTTTCTTATCTAAAATTAATCCATCTACCTTTTGTCTCTGGGTTTTTACCTTTCTCTTACTTCTGTAACTCCCTGGCTGGCTGGGTGGGTGGCTAGATTGTTGACTCCTAGTGTCCTCTTCTTGTTCTCTTGCTCTTCCTTCTCTCCTCCCAGATTTCTCCTTCTATTTATTCTCTCTGCCTGCCAGCCCCACCTATCCTTTCTCCTGCTTCACTATGGGCCATTCAGCTCTTTATTAGGCCATCAGATGTTTTAGACAGGCAAAGAATCACAGTTTCACAGAGTTAAACAAATGCAACATAAAAGAATGCT